GGGGCTAACAATGTTCAAGAGGAAGTGTACTCATTACCTCACTCATGTAACTGTAACCCTCTGTATAGTATCTTTACAATAAAAAAAAAAAACCAGCCAAAAAAAAACATAACAATAGCAAAATGGACTTGGGGCTTAGCTCAAGTGACAGAAGATCTGCCTGGTAAGGTCAAGTTCAAGTTCAAACCCAGTACCACCAAAAAGAAACAAAGTGGGGGTGAGGCGGGGCAGTGGAGTAGTTGCCTTGTAAGATGCCCTGGGTTCTTTTCTCACTAAAAGCAAGCAAGCAAGAAAGAAAGAAAGCAAGAAAACAAGAAAGAAAGAGAGAAAGAGAGAGAGAGAGAGGAAGGAAGGGAGGGAGGGAGGGAGGAAGGAAGGAAGGAAGGAAAGGAAAGAAGGAAGGAAGGAAGGAAAAGTAGAAAAGGAGGTATGTAAAGGAGGGGAGGGGGAAGGAAGAAAGAATGAATGAAAGAAATTAATTTGTTCCAATAACAGTCTCTATCTCACCTTCATTGACTCAAATTTAAAAGATTTGATTTAAGCTGGCCACCAGTAGTTCACACATGTTATCCTTTCTACTCAGGAGGTTGAGATCTGGGGATTGAGGTTCGAACCCAGCCTGGGCAGGAAAGTTCATGAGACTCTTGTCTCCAATTAGCTACCAAAAAAGTTAGAAGTGGAGCTGTGGTTCAAGTGAAAGAGCACTATCCTTGAGCACAAAAACTCATGGACAGCACCCAGGCCCTGAGTTCAAGCCCCATAGTCAGCACAAAATGGAAAAAAAGAAAAGAAAAAAGAAAAAAAATATTTGAGTCATGACTCCTGACAGACACAGGAGCTGAGCATAGGGAAGCTCTCACTTATTTCCCCTCCTGCAGTAGAAAAGGGTCATCTTCAAGTCAGCAGATTTGTTGTTGTTGTTGTCATTGTTGTTGTTGGTCTTGGGGAAACTGGGCCTGAGCTCTTCAGCTCAAGGCTAGCGCTCTACCACTTAAGCCACAGCTTCACTTATGGCTTTTTCTGCTTATGTGGTGCTGAGGAATCAAACCCAGGACTTCATGCATGCAAGGCAAGCACTTTACCACTAAACCACCTTCCCAGACCTCAAATCAGCAGATTTTTAAAGTTTGATCTCAATCTTTCTCTTCTCATTCCTAGTTTCAAGAGAGAATTGAAGATTTGGAAGATGAGCGCAAGTTGCTAAATGACAATTATGATGGGCTCTTAAAAAAGTGAGTAACAAAGGGGAAAAAAAGGAGGCTACAATGCTTGATAAGAAATGTACTCATTATCTTGCCCGTGTAATTGTAACCCCTCTGCACAGTATTTTCACAATAAAAAAGAAAAGAAAAGTGAGTAACAAAATGTAGTCCCTGAACATTGTTTGCTGAAAAAAAAGTGATAGAAAATGCAAATATAATGTCTAGCACTGATAAATATATTGGGCAGCTGGTAATCAATATAGTCAGTGAAAATAGACATTAGCACAGACTTTTGGGAGAGGTTTGACACAATCAATTAAAATGTCAAATACACATAGCTCTTATATGAGCAATTACTCCTCCTCCTCCTTCTTCTCCTCCTCCCCATCCTCCTTCCTCCTCTTCCTCCTCTTCTTCCTCTTCTTCCTCCTCCTCTTCTTCCTCTTCTTTCTCCTCTTCCTTCTCATCTTCCCCTCCTCCTCTTCATCTTTGTCTTCCTCCTTCTCCTCCTCCTCCTTTTCTTCCTCTTCATTTGGAGTCAAAATGAACACAAACTGTTTGCTTTTATGCACAGATATTTTATGTAAGAATGTTAATTATTGTTAGTAGTAGCAAAAAAACCTGGAACCCTACGAATTTCCATTGATGGAGATGGATTAAATAAATCATGTTGCATATGCACAACAAAATGCTATGTGGTCTTTAAAAGTGAAGTAGATTAGCCAGGCCCTAGTAGCACACCTATAATCCTGGGAGCCTTAGAAGGAGAGGATCATAGTTTTAGATTAGTCCAGGAAAAGTTCAGTGGTGTGAACTTACCATTCTAAGCTCTGTGGAAGGCTGAGATCAGAGGATCTAGTTAACTTAGGCAGAAAAGTTTGCAAGACTCCATCCCAATGTAAAGATGGTGAATATAGTTGCACTTGCCTCTCATTCCAGGTAGAACATGAAGACTAAAATTGGCAGATCTTTAGCCAGGTGTGTACCCAATCAGGAAGGAAGACTCTATGTCAAAAAAGAATCAGTGCTAAGCTAGGTGGCAGTGGTTCATGCCTGTAATCCTAGCTACTCAGGAGGCTGAGATCTGAGGATCAAGATTCAAAGCCAACCCAGGCAGGAAAGTCCATGAGACTCTTATCTCCAATAAACCACTGGAAAACCGGAAGTGGCACTGTGGCTCAAGTGGTAGAACGCTAGCCTTGAGCTGAAGAGCTGAAGGACAGTGCCCAAGCCCAGAGTTCAAGCCCCATGACTGACAAAAAAAGGGTGGGGGGAGGAGGAGTTGGGGAGGTAGGAAGGGAAGGGATGGTAGGGGAAAAACAAAGGAGGGGGTAACAATGCTTGATAGGAAATGTACTCACTACCTTACTCATATAATTGTAACCCCTGTGTACAGTATTTTTACAATAAAAATATATACAAAAAAACAGTGCTAACCAGGTGCCAGTGGCTCACGCCTGTAATCCTAACTACTGAGGAGGCTGAGATCTGAGGATCTCGGTTCAAAGCCAGCCCAGGCATGAAAGTCCGTGAGACTCTTATCTCCAAAAAACCACTAGAAAACTGGAAGTGGCGCTGTGGCTCAAGTGGTAGAGCACTTGCCTTGAGCTGAAGAGCTGAGGGACAGTGCCCAAGCCCAGAGTTCAAGCCCCACAACCAACCAACAAAACAAAATAAAACAAAACAAACAGTGCTTTATGTAACTGTAACCCCTCTGTACGTCACCTTTATAATACAAAAAAACAACAACAGGAAAATTGTCAAAAAATGCAAGAGACTGTACAATGAAATCTACAAAATATTGCTGAAGGAAGTTTAAATAAACATAATAAATGGAAAAAAGTAACTAGTGTTAGCCAGGCACCATGGTAAGGGCTCATGCCTACAATCCAAGCTACTTAAAAAGCTGAGATCTGGCCGGGTGTCGGCGGCTCACGCCTGTAATCCTAGCTATTCAGGAGGCTGAGATCTGAGGATTGTGGTTCAAAGCCAGCCAGCCTGGGCAGGAAAGTCCATGAAATTCTCATCTCCAATAAACAACCAGAAAACTGGAAGTGGTGCTGTGGCTCAAGTGGTAGAGTGCTAGTGAGCTGAAGAGCTGAGGGACAGTGCCCAGGACCAGAGTTTAATCCCCAAGAACAAAAAAAAAAAAAAAAAAGAAAGAAAAAAAGAAAAGAAAAAAAATGTTGAGATCTGCATGGGCAGACAAATCCAAGAGACTCTTATTTCTAGTTAGCCAGCAAAAAGCCAGAACTGTAGGTGGTACAGCAGCACCAACCTCAATTTAAAAAGACAATGGGCCTTAAGTTCAAGCCCTAGTACCAGCATACACACACACACACACACACACACACACACACACACACACACACAGAGTACAAGAATAGGCTGGAGGAATGGCTCAGCAGAAGAGTGCAATGCTGTAAGTTCAAACCCAGCACAGCCAAAAACAAACAAACAAACAACCAAGGTAAACATACTGTTCAAAGAAAAAGAAAGCTGTTTGGGTATGGCTTCACATGCATTTAAAAGCATATGAGGCTTGTAGTTAAGCAAAGGAATACCTTCTCTTTTACTCTATATACTTCTCTATTGTTTTCATTTTTCTATAATAACATACATTCACACATTAATTTTCTAATTAAAAGCACCTAGAAGATTCTAAGAATTAGGAGTATGGGTTCTGGGAGGGAGTGATACTGAAAAAAACTACAACACCTGAATTAGGTCTCTGTTGTCTTGAAGATTGAGTTCAAGGACATGGAGGGAGAAGTAAAATGGCTAAGATCTATTAAAGTAAAACATAAGGAGAGCTCCTGCTGGACAAGAGGGGTCCCAAGGGAGGACACCAGCTGGGGCGTGTAATGTAGGTGTTTCTAGCAGTGAGCTACATGACTGTTAAGATAATTGGACAGCTTTTGGACCATAGCAGTGCTCAGACACACCAGAGGATCCAGGCAGCTGGCACAGGTTCTCGATGCATTGTTTAGCCCCTCTGACTGGTACTCATTCCTGTGCATGCCTCTGGGGTCCAATCTACTCTTGTTCACATAAATTCTTCCAGGGGCAATAGGCCATGATGTGATGCCCAGGGGCCCACATTTGAAACTGCTCAAGCCATGGTGAGGGATGTAGAATTTCTATGGGAAGAGTCCTTTGCTCTAATTGCCTAGCCCCTTTTTCTGCTCTCAGTGGTGTATGCCTCTAATCCAAGCACTTGGGAGGCTGAGACAGGAGGATTGTGAATTCAAGGTCAGCCTGGGCTACATGTAAAACCCATTTCAAAAACAGCCAGTAGCTGGTGATTCATACATGTAATTCTAGGTACTCAGGGCCTGAGATTTGAGGACCATTGTTCAAAGCCAGTCCAGACAGAAAAGTCTGTGATCCCAATTACCTAACAGTTTTTGACAAGTTTCATTCCTATATAATACTTGTATAATAATTTATAATGCAGTTCAGCGGCAAGTCTTCTCCCAACTGTCCCATGATATAGACAGAAGAATAAGGTGAGAAGAGGAAGATTTTGTTTCTCATTTCTAAAGAAGCAGGCCTAACCATGTCAGGACACATGGTACCCTGTCTAAAGAAAGCTGTGGATGCTGGGTGCTGGTGGCTCATGCCTGTAATCCTAGCAAGTGAGAAGGCTGAAATCTGAGGATAACGGTTTGAAGCCAGACTGGGCAGGAAAGTTTGTGAGACACTTATCTCCAGTGAACCAGAAAAAAGCCAGAAGTGGATCTGTGGCTCAAGTGGTAAAGTGCAAGCCTTGAGTGAAAAAGGTAAGGGACAGCATCTAGGACCTGAGTTCAATCCCTAGTAGTGGCACAAATCACAATAAGACAAGAAAGCTGGGGTGCTTAGAGGAGTTCTCTGGGAAATGCCTGTGATTGGGGTATTTTCTCAGTGAGACACTTCAGATCTAAACAAAAGTGATGCTAAGCAACTCCTCAATGGGACCTAGAAGTTCCAAGGCAGTTGGTAAGTGACAGTTGCAAATCCAGAAGGGCAGAGAAACATGTAGAGAAATGAAGGAGGAACTAGGCTGCAGAGATGCTGAAGCTGTGTAATAACGACGTTGTGTCGCACACCTTCGAGTGTCCACCTGACCACTTGCTTCCTGAACTCAGCATGCTGGACAGAAGCAGCCAGCCCTCCTGGAACAGCGAGCTGCTTGGAGATGAGCTGCAGGAGCAGGTCTCTCAGATACAGGAGCAGTTCGATGAAGAGCTGGAGGAGAAAGGACAAGTTTTATTTCAGCTGTCCAGAGAGAAAGGTAGGTCACGTCTGTAAGCTCTCTCAAATGTGGTTCAGGGAGAAGGAAATTGGGGCTTTTGCTTCTCCAGTTTCCTCACTTGATGCTATTCTTTGATTAGTTACCAGTAAGAATTAAAATACTGGCCATTAGACACATTTAGATTCAGGAGGCAGGACATGTGCATCTTTTGTATTTGTCTTTCAGTGAAGTTGGTGCCGTTTTTATTTTTGTGCCAGGGGCATGAACTCAGTGCCTCACGCTTTTACTCAGCTCTTTTACTCAAGGCTGGTGTTCTACCAGTTGAGCCACTCCTCCATTTCTGACTTTTTGATGCTTAATTGGCCATAAGAGTTTTATGGACTTTTCTCCCTGAGCTGGCTTTGAATCTTGATCTCTAAATCTCAGCCTTCTCAGTAGCCTCAATTACAGTCATGAACCACTAATGCCTGGCTCTAAATGCCAGACCTTAATTGTGTTTTTTTTAAAAAAAAAATAATGTGAGAGGAAAATGCTGAAATAAAGATACAGGTTGACCCATTGTAACAATGAGATGTACAAGACACTGTTGAAAATGAACTTTATAGCTTGCGGGGGGCAGAGAAGTTGGGGAGGTGGGGAGGGAAAAGATAGTAGAAGAAAAACAAAGGGAGGGGGTAACAATGCTCAATAGGAAATGTACTCATTGCCTTACTCATATAACTGTAATCCCTTTGTACAGTATCTTTACAATTAATATATATCTTTACAATTAATATATATATTAAAATGTGAGGGGATAATGATTCTTAATTTAATTAGTTTTAAATTCACTTTATTTTTATTTTTTATTTTTAAATTTTTCAGTTACATAAGTAACTGTACAAAGGGGTTACAGTTACATGAGTAAGGTAATGAGTACATTTCCTATTGAGCATTGTTACCCCCTCCTTTGTTTTTCCCTTACTAATTCACTTTATTGATTGAAAGTATTTGTGTGTGTGTGTGTGTGTTTGTGTGGGGCACACTTAGGGGTTTGAGCTCAGGGCTTGGGTCCTGCCCCTGAACTTTTTTGCTAAAGATGTTCTATCACTTGAGCCACAGATCTACTTTTGGCTTTTTGGTGGTTAATTGGAGAGAAAAGTCTCATGGACTTTCCTGCCTGGTTTTGAACTGTGATCCTCAGTCTCCTGAGGAGTTAGGATTATAGTTGTTAGCCACTGGTGCCTAGCTGGTGTTCCTCTTTCTGCTGGCATTTTTTTTGCTTTAGGATCTAGCAAGCCTTTTATGGAAATCTGAGACTTGCTTCTCTCCAGAAAAATGCTAGAAGGAAATAAACATTACAGGAAATTTGGCTGTGGTCACTAATCACTACAGTTTGAACTCTCTGGATTATCTTTTCACCAGCTGAAAATACAGATGTGAACTTTGAAGTCACCAGCACCCTTCAGAAGCCTGAGCAGGCGGTGGAGGTCCTCCAAAAGACAGTGATAGTGCCCCAGTCTCCTGACAGGCCACCAGAAGCAGCCACTCCTCCAGCTCTATTTGAAGAGACAGACCAGAAAGAGGTAGGAGGCTCTTTATTAGAAAAGTTTTATTTATTATTTACTTTTTTGTGGTGCCAGCACTGGGGCTTGAACTCAGGTCTTTGTGCTCTCGTTTGTTTGTTTTTACACAAGGCTAGTGCTCTACCATTTGAGAGAGAGCTCCAGTGTCTCAAACTCCATCAAGGGAGTTCTGGCAATTGTCCCAGAAGAGGTGAGAAGAGTAGAAATAAATAAGTGACCTTCTTTTTTCTTTCTTCTTTCTTTCTTTCTTTCTTTTTTTTTTCTTTTCTTGACCGATACTGGAGCTTGCTCAGGGCCCTGAGGCACTATCTTTTAGCTTTTTCACTCAATGCTGGTGCTCTTGAGCCACAACTCCACTTCTGGCTTTTTGGTAGTTAATTGGTTAATAGTCTCATGAACTTTCCTATCTGGGCTGTTTTCAAACTTCAATCCTTATATCTCAGCCTCCTGAGATTACAGGTATGACCCATTGGCTCCCAACCCTGAATGACCTAATTTTTTTGGGGGGGGGGGCAGGTCCGGTCGTGGGACCTGAACTCTAGGCCTGGGCATTGTCCCTCAGCTCCTCAGCTCAAGGCTAGCGCTCTACCACTTGAGCCACAGTGCCACTTCTAGCTTTTTTCTTTTTGCTTATGTGGTGCTGAGGAATCGAACCCAGGGCCTCAGGCATGCAAGGCAAGCGCTCTACCACTGAGCTACCTTCCCAGCCCTTGAATGACCTAATTGAGGGAGGTAGAAGGTAAAAGGCAGAGAGAGAGAAGACAGAGGACCATGAGATTCACTCACCCAGCTCTGATTATGCAGTCCTTTTGTAAGAGGAGGTCTTAAAAGTGACCTGCAATAGCACAGACACACTGCCATTAGAGGCTGTGTAATCTCCCTGGGTCAGAGCCCTGAAGAGAGAGTCATCTCTGCCACAGGTATTTTGCTGCAACCAACAACTGCTTTTTAGAGTTGTTGCCACATCTGTCACATTTATGCTCCTCTATCAATGCTTTCCCTCTCTAGCCCAATGAATCAGAAATCGATGAAGAAAAGAAACTGTCCCAGATGTTGAGTGAGTTGCAGGTGTCACATGCAGAGACCACACTGGAACTGGAGAAGACCAGAGACATGCTGCTTCTGCAGCGCCAGATCAATGTGTGTTACCAGGTACAAGGGAAGAATGGCTCCGGATTGGAATGGATAATAGGCTTAGGGGACCCACACACAATGAGAAGGAAGCATGATCCAGGGTTCCTGGGCTGACAGCAGGTGAAAACAAATAGTGTTGTCATTTGAAGAATTGGAGGGCTCACCCATAGCCAGGGTACCTTGGCACTAGAAGCCATAGCCAGCTAGTAGAGTGCCCAGTGTGGAGCTTGGGGTCCAATTTTCCCAGAAGTCTTAGAGAAATTTCACCCTATGACACCACTAGCAGAGCTAGTTCTTGGTGAGGGAGTACGGGGGTAAGTGGGGAGGGAGGTGGGGAGGGAATGAGGAACCCTGGCTTTTTTCTTGTTTTTGTGCCAATACTGAAGTTTGAATTCAATATCCTTTAGCTTTTTCTCTCAAGACTGGCACTCTACCACCTGAGCCACAGTTCTACTTTCAGTTTTTTGGTGGCTAATTGGAGACAAGAGTCTCATGGATTTTCTTGCCTGGCTGGCTGCAAACCTTGATCCTCAGACCTCAGCCTCCTGGGTTGCTAGGATTACAGGTGTGAACCACTGGTATCCAGCTTCCTGGCCTTTTTCTTTTTTGGGGGGGTCTGGTCGTGGGGCCTGAACTCTGGGCCTGGGCGCTGTCCCTCAGCTCT